AAGAGAGGTAAAATTAATTTTCAGAGAGGTTCAGTAATGTGCTTATAACTACAGGGTGTCCAAAGGTCACCATATGTAGAAAAAGTTAACAAATGAATATTACATTTTGTATTTTTTAATATTTTTTATTTATATATCAACATGAAGAGAAATGTTCTGTTAGTATCTTGTAAAATTTTTAAATGACTATTTTGTAAATAAAGGTACATTTAGTTACAATTTCACATTTACCCTGTATACGTATGTATGGTGACCTTGGGTTACCCTGTACTAATAACAGCCCTGAAATTGAAACCTGGATTGATTTCTCATCTTCTTGGGCCTTCCCTTCATCAGGTTTCATACTCTTTCCTATGTGTTACCCCTCTCTTTAGTACAGATACTTCATTTCATGCCTATGAGATAACTAAATTTTTGAAACTGCCATCTGCAAAGCTTAAGACGGGATCCAAATTGTGGTGATACCACTATACAGATGATCCTGTAGCAGGTGGGGTAATATTAATTACATATGCACAAATCAGAATGAAATTAATTGATCTTCAAATGTTAGCTATAGCTTGAAAACATTTGAAACTCTGAAAATAGGGGTAGCATAGGCCAGATTTATAGACCAAATTTATAGATTTTTGGTTCAGAATTCTACAACCCACTGAGCTGAGCTCTCACCTGATATAAGCCCTTCCCCCAGATCATTATAGGTTTTCTGGATTTATAAAAACAGTATAGATTTCTAAGAAGTCAAGATATAGTTGGCAACATACCTTGAAGTTCGAAGGCACTCCACCAACATAGAACACAGTGTCCTCAGGGTCCAGGTCCAGCAAGGAGTCATCTCCCGCAAACTCCCCCTTTTTAATAAACTTCTCCTCTGCGGTGCTACTTAGACTTGGGACTGTTAGAAACACTTTCCCATGTTTTCCTATCCTATTGAGATAAAACATGTTCACTATTAGCCAGATAATTCATAAAAAATACTCTTTTAATGTCAAAATGTTAATGTTCCCTCATCACAAATTGGTGATTTTATTTTGTCACATTAACAAGTATTTACAAAATGTGGCTCGGCGCCTATAGCTCAACCGGCTAAGGCGCCAGCCACGTACACCTAAGGTGGTGGGTTCGAATCCCCAGCCCGGACCCGCCAAACAACAATGACGCTGCAACCAAAAAATAGCCGGGCGTTGTGGCGGGCGCCTGTGGTCCCAGCTACTTGGGAGGCGGAGGCAGGAGACTCGCTTGAGCCCAGGAGTTGGAGGTTGCTGTGAGCTGTAATGCCACGGTACTCTACCCAGGTGGATAGCTTGAGGCTCTGTCCAAAAAAAAAAAAAAAAAAACAAAAAAAAAAACAAGTATTTACAAAATGTCAACAATCAGTAGGAAGAGGAAAAAAAGGCATTTCACCCTGGAATTAATTCATGGCTTGACCAGGCGAAAAGAGCTAACAAATTGCTACTTAGAAACGATGACTTTTTTTTTCCTTTTCTTTTCCATTAAGGTATTTAAGAAAGGAACGCAATAATGATGGAAGAAAGGGGAGAAAACAGAGGGGAGAAGATGCTGTGAGTAGCCTCCACGGGAAGACTCTGCATGTGTGTGTGCACACGTGTGCATGTGTGTGTACATGTGCGTGTCTGTGTGTGCGCATGTGTGAGTGCATTCGACAGCTTTCTATGAAATGCACATGTAAGCCCAGGCTCAGGGATTCACTGTACCTTTCAATCTTGACAATGCTGAAGTGAGCAGGCCAGGAACTGACGGGTTTGGAGTCAAGGGGAATCTCCACATCCTTAGCTCCCAAATTATAGATATATACCAGGTTATCGTTTTTGATTGCAAGACCCATATACTCTTTTTTGGCCTGAAATGTTAAGAAGCCACTTAATAACGTTTGCATGAATAAGTATCATCTTTTATGTTCATTCTTTAAAGGACCATCAGCAAAGCAGATACTTGGCTGTACACAGTGACTTCTGACTAGAATTATTACCCAAAGTCCCCATGAGACTGGGCAGACTCCACCCTTCCTGTGGCAGCATCAGAATCCCTGAATGCATCTCGGATGGGGAGGTGATGGCTGCCAGGAGTGTGCTGATGCTGTTAGGCTAACCCGGGGTATGACAGCCTGACAATGCCAATCATGTCCATCACTTTGCATCTTCAAAGAGGATAAGCATCACCCATAATAGGCTGCTGTTATTCTGAAGGTCTTTGAGAAGCTCCATTCAGATTCATCAAAGTCAGCAGTGTGTTGCTGGTGGGAAGCCAGCCCTGAAGTATCCCACATTTAAATAACTTCTTTAACCGTGCCACTAAAATATTGATATCTTTGGAGTTACAAGAGTGGGTATTTTGTTTGCCTGCCTAGGTAGCTCTATTTTAGGCAAGAGAACAAGCAGCTTTCCTTGTTACTCTTCTTCCCTCCCTCGTGTTCTTACATTTTTGCTTCCGAGGTACAGGACGAACTGATCTGCAGGTCCCGCCAGCTCTGGTGACTTCACGGGAGGTTTCATGTACAGGCTCAGGGATGTGAAGGCCTTCAAGTCATCCACACTGGTCTTGGGGTGCACTTCTACGGCCGACTGGCCATCGAACATCATGGAGACTTGGATCTGGATTTGCAAAATAGTTTCGTTTAAAGTACTTCACAGAAGTGGCCCCCTGTTCTAAACAAGGGCCTCTAAGCTTAGCTCTCTTCATGCCTTTATTTATTTACTTACATCCTTGAGGGAAGATTTAAGGCAGATTACAGCACAACAGTTTAAAATGGGGTGCACGAAAACAAGGTGGTAACAAAGTAGATACAAGAATGAGGATTAAATACTACATATGAATTCCGCAATGAGCTATATTCTTGGTTTGGGTGAACTGAACAACTTGAGGGGATGCCTGGTCAGAAATACAATTCTCAAGGTCCATAAACTTTATACAAAAACTAATCATTTGAGGCCAGGCACAGTGGCTCATGCCTGTAATCCTAGCACTCTGGGAGACCCAGGTGGGCAGATTGCTTGAGCTCATGGGTTCAAGATCAGCCTTAGCAAGGGCAAGATCTGTTCTCTAAAAATAGCCAGGTGTTGTGGCAGGTGCCTATAGTTCCAGCTACTTGGGAGGCTGAGGCAAGAGGATTGCTTGAACCTAAGAGTTTGCTGTGAACTATGATGCCATGGCACTATACTGAGGGCAACAAAGTGAGACTTTGTCTCCAAAATAACAAAAAAACCAAACCAAAACAAAAAAACCCTAACCATTTGGGAGAAGTATAACTAATGTTGGGTACTGATACAGCGGGGACTTTCTCCCCAGGGTTCCAAGGGAGCCCCCAAGGGAGCATGAGATAAGACTGTGAGCAAACGTTCTTGACCGTGTCTATGTGGCTGGGAGGAGTCTGGACATAGCTTTGTAGTCTTAGACCAGCTCTGCCACTGACTAGCTATGTAACCAAGAGCAAGTCTCTTAACCTTCAGTTTCCTCATCCGTAAAATAAGGACTATAAAGTTGTGAGAATTAAATAAGCGCTATTATATAAAGTGCTTTCCTGAGCCTGGCTCTACCCTTATAGTAACGGTAACGACAAGTTCACTATGTTGTTTCTCACAGTGACTTTCAGAAAAGCATCACAGAGAAGCAGTTCAGTAAATGATTTTCTAAGAGGTCCAACATGAAAGACTAAACCAGTCTGGTTCATGGGTGATTTTCAGAGTATTCAGAAGGATGGACTGTGTATACTCATGCCATTTATGCAAATATTTCTAATGATTGGATGTGCTTATGTCAATTAATTAATATCGATTCAGGTAAGGTGGATGGTCAGTGAACTTAAGACCACATTCTCGAGTGTCAGAAGTGCAGCTGTCCTATGTTGCCAGTTAAGACCCACACATGTTAATAAATAATCAAGCAGGGTGTAGGATTAAAGTTTTACAGCAGAAACTGAAAGTTGAGAAGGATGAATGTTTGCATAGAAACCGTCTCACTTTGGGAGAACTCAGCAAGCTCCCAGCTCTCAGAGGTGGGGTCAATACTCTCTTCAGAAAAGTTATGCATAATTAAGACCCCAAAGTTACACTCCATATAAGTACTCTTACCAGAAAGCATTCACATATTTTAGAATGTCATTTTTTTAAATTTGAGGTTAATTTGAGGGGACAAAGAAATAGGCTACAATGTTTGCATTGTTTTAGGTAGTATCCTTCTTATAATTGTGTTCCTTCTAAAAGGTGTGCCATTAGAATGTCATTTCTTGATGTACCTTTGAGATAAATCTTTGAAATGTTTGCTGGAGTATCCAAACAAGTTAATTTGTCACAAGAGACCATTGATCATATATTGTTTAAAAGTTGGATGTATTGACCAAGAATATTCTCCTTCATCATAAAGTAGTTGATTTCTAACTCTTCTTTCTGTCAGTAATTAGGGCCAATAGTCTGTTCAGACCAATTCTTTTTTTTTTTTTGAGACAGAGTCAATCTCACTTTGTTACTCCAGCTGGAGTGCAGTGGTGTCAGTCTGGCTCACTGCAACCTCAGACTCCTGTATTCATGTTATCCTCCTGTCTCAGCCTCCCAAGTAGATGGGACTACAGATGTACACCACCACACACAGCTACTTTTTCCATTTTTAGTAGAGACGGGGGTCTCACTCTTACTCAGGCTGGTCACTAACCCCTGAGCTCAAGGGATCCTCCCTCCTCAGCCTCCCAGAGTGCTCAGATTAAAGTTGTGAGCCACTGCTGGGGCCAATTCATAATTGAAAAAATAAAACCATGTAACTTGGTTGTAAAAAAATGAAGCTGGTTCATAAATTCAACCAACCAACCAACCAACAGCAACAACAACAACAACAAAAATTAAAAAGACGTCCAAGGACAAGTCCTATTTCTCCACACTGAAAACGTGAATTATGTCAGGACATATTCCCACCAATCTGGCTTAGTTGTCCTGTTGCTAGATTGCTTCTATAAGAAGCGTCTCAGAAAGGGGTCTTTGTAGAGTTTATTCAGCTTACCTGGTATGCAATTTCTTAACCAAGCTTGTAGGTGGTAAATTAAAGCTTCACACAATCTATGTTGTACCAGAGAATTTTTTTTTCCCAATGAAAACAATATTTATTGGTGAAATAAATGAGCAACAACAACTAAAAATTTAAAATTTAAAACTTAAAATTATACAAATTTACTAAGACTGGATTAAAAATTGTAGAGTAACAGCTCTGGAAAAAACTTTCAAGAGAAGTAAATGACTATTGGGATTATAGCTAGTACACTGTATTTTCAAATCACTTATTCTTGGTTTAAAGAGATTCCATAAGGCCTTCTGACAGTTTGGGGGTTCTTTTTTTCCTTTTACCTAGAATACAGGGACATGTACTTGAAAAATACCTCCGAGATTTTTCTATGAAGAAAAATATGTAGACGTGCCATTTTGAAATTAGGATACTGGTGATAATTCAGTATTCTTTGGTTTCCTTAAGTTTCTATTTTATTTTATTTTTTTATTGTTGGGGATTCATTGAGGCAGAGAATTTCTTGAAGGGTTAGACAGAAGGGATAGATTATTTCGTATGGTAATTGCACTAAAACAGCTGTTAAAACAGTGACTACTAAAACTAATCATGAATGAAATTTTCTAAATTGGGATTTTATTTCTTTTCCTATATTAGGTTTGTTGACTAGGTTAACTCTGTGGTTCTTAATCCTGGCTACATAATAACATGGGGGCTTCTAACAAATACAGAGGTTGAGCCCTTCTTCTAGAGAGTCTGATATATCACTTTGGGTTGGGACCAGGAATTAGTTTATTCTTCAGAGCTCCTCCTGTGATTCTAATGACCAAATGGGGCTCAGAACTACTGAGTTGGGTAAGAGAGGAGAAAGGTCCCAGGCTCTGGAAGCTGCCTGAGGAGTTGGAGCTAGGCTCCACGCTCGTGATCACTGAGTAACCAATGACTCCCTTCATCCGTTACCTTGCTGGCCACGCTTCTGGTCTGAGCAATGAGCTCTCGAATCCTCTGGATGCTGGCAGAGACATTGCTTGCTGGCCGCTTCAGCTCCACCACGCGAAGCTGATCCAGGAGCTGAGGGACAACCTCTGTCAGATTTCTTACTGCAGTTAACAGAAACGTAATCGCTTGAGTAAATATCTTCATATTCAGTGCATTTTAGCAACCAGATGAAGAGATGACAAAAACACAGGATTCATTTTAGTAGAACTATAAGAAATTATCTTTAATCCTGAAAACTTACTAGTAAAGCCCAAAGCTTAATCAGTTTCTATTTTGTGACATGGATAGTATCTATGGATTTATAAATTGCATGTGGAGCTTGCTAAGGTACATTTCTAAAAGGCAGGATCCATGACAAATATACAGATGTTTCTTTTACCAATGGTACAGGTCCTGCTTGTTTCTCTAAAATAATGGATAGAACAGGGCAAAAGGAGGGGGAAAGGCTGTTTTTATTCACAAATCACACTGCTGCTGCTGCTGTCCCAGCAGAGGCAGAGCTCGGTGGAGCAAACCAGGTGGCACCCAGAAGAGAGACAACTGTGCCAGGGCGAGGGTGGGGAATATGGTCTATGGGCCCAGGCAAGGATGATGCTGCAGGCAGATAATACTGACATCTTTTGTGTTTTTGTCCCTGGGCTTCCTGCTAGAGAACAAAACAAACTTTGAGTGTTGGGGATGGGGGAACGGCAAAAGAGGAAGTGGCTGGGGGGCATGCACTCTCCTGTGTCCCTGAGCCTGTGGCTGATCTACTTTTTTTTATTTTGAAAGCATAATGTCCATATAGAAAAAAACCACAAATCATAAGGACAGAGCTCGATGACAGAAACCCAAAATACAGAGAATGACATAACTTTTCCCAAGTTTCATTGAGTGAACAGTGGTTCTTAAAGTGTGGTCCCCAGACAAACAGAACGGCATCATCAGGGAGCTTGTGAGAAAAGCAAAGTTTCTGGTCCTCCCACAAACCCATTGACTCAGATTCTGGGAGTGGGGCAAGTTGCATTTAATAAGTCTCAGGTGATTCTAATGCACATTTACGTCTGAGAACCACTGGATGAGGGAATGGGTATTTTTCAGGTACTCTCCTAAGAGCAGGACCACAGTCCTGCTAATCCGAAGCACTGGTTCTCAGCCTTCGTAATGTCGTGACCCACAGGCTGAGAATCACTGTGCTAAGGGCATTAGCAGCTGGGCAAGAGAGAGCCTCTTACTAAAGACAAAGCAAATGCACATTCAGAAGACTCCATCGGTGTGGAGCAGGGAAACAGCTCTGTGTTTAGGAAACAAGGGGCTTCTCCAGCACATGGAATGGAATGAAGTAAAATAACAGCAACTATTAGTCTACGGAATTGATTAATACAGGGTTAATATTTGTTGTTTGGTTCACTGACCACAATAGATTATTTTATAGCATAATAGTCTTTAATAACTAGAGATAATCAAGCACATTTAGAGCATGATATTAAATTTCGACTATGAAAATTTACATGACAGAGTCCCCTGTGCCCTCAATTCTCTCAGAAAAAGGATGTCACCTTGTATTAGAATCCCTATACAGTTTCTTATAGTATGATGCGCCCTCTCATTTACTTAAAAATGCTATTTGAGGAAAACACAGTAGGCTAAAACAATTTCAATAGTGTTAGTTCGGGATACTTGTTGAAATCACTTAGTAGGTCTGATAAAAAAAAGAAAGAAAAGAAATTTAATACATATTTAGTAAATATTCCTGAGGCAATTATCTTTAGATATGTAAATGTTGGGCATGATGTAAACAAATCTCTCTTAAAGATAAAATTTTAAAAGCACTTAAAT